ATACTAGGCATGCTCCGGTCTTTTTTTGTTTGGCCTGAACCGAAAGGGGAGACCGAGGAGGAGACTTTCGTGGAGGCACCACCCTCAACAGCAAAAATCGCCGAGGTTACGTAGGCATACTGTTGATGTATTATTTTGCTCTAACTGTATCTAGATGTTCTCCAATTTATTTGTTTCTACAGATTAATGGTATCCTCCAGGACACGGGTGAAGAGGAAAAGTTGGCACTGAATCTGGACGAGGAGGATATACCACTTATTCTTGAAGTAATTCAAATATTGGAGCCATTTCAAAAGGCCATAAAGGAATTGGAGACGGCAAACACTATCACCATCCAGCACGTAATTCCACGATTCAGGTACTTAACAGCAAACATTTTTATCTACGATAGTGCATTCTTTTTTCAAAAGTTTTTTTTTGTCTGAAATTTTGTAAATTTACTATTGTTTGTGATTCGCATTAAGAAATCAAATGGTACATATTTCATAGCAAAAGTAAATTGCCAGTAAAAGTCTGCTATACAAATTCTCATATTTTGCGATTTTATCAAACATTAATGCTATTTATTTTCTCAAAGGAAACTGAAGAAATTATTACGCCCTCAAGGTGATGACACTGCTGTTATGGCTATGTTGAGGGCGTCGTTGTTTGCTGAGCTGGAGAAGAAGGTGTCAAAGAATCTGCACATGAGGCACAAGCTTGGCATTTTTTTCTGGCCAAGATTTGCAAGCCTTTCTGGATATACAGAGACCAAGCGCACTGAGGTGGGTATATTATTTTGCAAAGGATTCAGCGCTGGCTCTCGGATTTAATTTGCAATAATAATGATATTCCGGCTTGCAGATTTTGGACCATGTTCGCACCAGAGTTCGGAAAGTTACTTGAAAAAATACGATTTCACCAAATCGTGGAAGACAACGGAGGTAGTATTTAGTAAATTTTGACAGACAACAAAGGTGCTTTCTATTTCTAGACAAGTTAATGAAATTTGAATAAAAAATACTACAGAAAATTAGAAACTTTTTGAGATATGTTTGCTATAATTTTGACTGAAGAAATTTGAGAAATTTGAGTTTTCATCCACAAGTTTCCATGGAAATGACGAGCTGAGCAGTAGGCCGAGTCGAGCCAGAGAAATTTCAGCCAATCACGAATTTCCGCGGGAAAGTTTGACCAATAGAAACGATCGCCTGTTGCTTTGTACAACCCTATCCAAAAATTATATGAGCCTGGTGTCGATACTCCTTGCTTTCAGTGGTCGCGTTTGAATAATAACAAGTCGCCGCCGTGTAAAAAGGTTCAGCATAAACGCTGTTTCGAACGCGACCGGTCAGCATCAGTCGACGATAGGCATTGTTAGCGAAGACTGTACTTGTGACTTCCAAATCGCATTTAAAAGAAGGCGCGGCGGCTAACAATGCTGCCAACCTATCGCCCTTTGCAGCTGGGGCGCGGCTCCGAGGAATATTTAAAAAAAAAAAAACTATGATTCATAACCAAAACTGTAGATCCTCCTTCGCTAATAATATTATTTCATAGTATGCAAAAAGTATGCGAAGCCAATTAGTACAACCAACCTATAACTAAAAATAAATATCATATCATTTATTAGTTATGACAACATCTAATTGAATAGAATATTTTGACTATTTCCGACGTAAAAATTGAAATCTATAGGGCCGTTAATGCGTTAAGGTTAGAATTTGTGCTAAATATTCCTGTCATTGCACAGAAAGGATCTGGTTTTTGGGCCAATATTTGAATACTATACCTGTGTCTGGTTTACTTGTGCAACCAGGAACAACACAATTAGTATACCCCACATTGTAGTTAATAGGCTGTATTTATGTGGTTCAAATCAGGAATTATTAAATAAGACCAATAAATTTGACTCTAAGCTCAATGAAAATGGCGTCGATGGTCTTCCCTTTCGCGTGTGTTTGAAATGAAAGCCTTTATAACAAGGCGGTAAGGTGGTGGCGTTCGAATATGATTATTGCCATCTGTGTCTGTTTCCTTATTATAGTAAAGGAAGTGTGCTCCTTCGGAAAACCCGGATAAATGTTTTTGATTTGCTTGTTTTATTTAGAATTAGTGGTGAAAATGGGAATATTATGAGAAGGCGGTAAGGTGGTGGCGTTCGAAACAAAGTAGTGGTATCCTAGTTCTGTGCATTGTAGCAAAGGAAGGGATTGTTTGAACGCAGACTTTAGAAGTGTCTTCTTTCCTCTGGATTGGCTCGGCTCGGCCTACTTGTTGCATGCAAAACTATCTCCATCTCTCTCGTGACGAGCCGAGTATCACCATAGAAACAGCGATTTCAATTCAAATTTGCAAAAAACTGAAAATTAAGTTTTTGATTAAACTTCGAGGATCAATTTAAAATTGAACTTTCTATTTTTTAAATAAAAATTAAGAAAATCGTTAGACCGGTTTCTAATATCCCATAAAGGGCCATGTAAAGCAATTGACTATCGGGGCAAAACGATCGTAGAAGACAACTCCGCTGTCTAAAAAAGTAATCGTTACCGTTACTGTTACCTTGCCGTCAATTGAGAACTAGACACCGTTACTGTTACCGTCTCAAAAGTAAAACAAGTACCGGGGCAAGAGGGAGGGGGGACTGGCACATAACAGCCACACGGACTATTCCTTCCAAAACACCCCCGTATCAAGAGGGTCCAGGATACAGGAATGTCGGCGTCTTTTCATTTACGCTTTGAAGGATCATCGGGAGGTCGGATATATTACTGCCGATGCGGTACTTTCACGCCTTTTGTTCGTAGCATGGCCAGTCTCGACCCGTCTCCCACCCCACGCCGCCGACAGTCCGCATCCGAGTGTCGTACCCGCACTACCTGCCTCCATCTGTAGGCTGTGCATGAGAGGGACAAGGACACCGATGCTCCCGACCCCAAACACATCTCTTTTGTCGTTTGCGCACTGAAAGCAACAGGAGCAAGGTCAGGGATGGTTCCGGGGTCTGGATGCCTGACCAGCCACTTTTGCTTGTCTTTCCCTAATTTTTCACCCGTGACACATGTGAGCAAAGGAGTGACAAAACAACACAAAGAGTTGCGTTGAAAGGAGAACCGCCGTGCGCTGTCCTCGCCATCGCTTTTAAAAGTAACGGTAACGACGATTTACTGATATCGTTACCAGAAAATAGGTAACCAGTTACCGTTACAGTTACCGAAACTGAGAAAAGTAAGAGTTACTGATACCGTTACCCAAAAAAAGAACTCGTTACCGGTAACTTACTGTTACTGTTACAAGTTACTCCGAACCCCTGGTTCGCACCCTGTGCAAAGAACAGGAAGAAGCTTTGGTGCGCCGGGGAAAGCCTCACTCACGTGGAGTCTCTGAGCAGTCTGCTCCTCGTGCCAAGCGTAGGAGGGCTCACGCATCGTCTGATTATGAGTAAGAAGACCTCTTTAAGCCTGGACAGGCTCAGCAGACTCAAAGAGATGAGGAAGAGGAGTAACTCAAATTGGCCGATGTCTCTGTGGGGTCGGCAGATATTTTGAGCTGGTGGAAACCGATGGGACCCGCGTCGAGCGGCTGATAAAGCTGATGAAGGAGGGCGCAACAAGAACTCTCGTCTACGTGAAAAACAATGACCTGTATGACAGGATACTGGAGGTGCATGAGGACCAGAACCACATCGTGCGGAACAAGATAATGCCCCTTCTCAATGAAAAATACGTGAATATTACTCAAGTAAGTGTTAAACTAGTATTACTATTAGTATTATTATTGAATATTATTATTGAATGTTATTATTATTGCTACTTTTTGTCAACAAGAAGCTGTCACACTATTCCAGTCGTTCTGTGGCATATGTCAGGGGAAGAAAAAGAGCAAGAAGAAAGGCATCGTTGCTGAGCCCAAGGTAAGGCGTTTAAAAATACGAACGACAGGTGTCAGGTCGATGTAATAGATTTCCAGTCATCCCCCGATGGTGACTTCAAAGACATAATGAATTATCAGGATCATCTAACCAAATTTGTTGTCCTGAACCCCCTCAAGTCGAAGACTGCACAAGTGGCGCTAAACCTAGTGCACATCCTTCTCACTTTCGAGGCCCCGGTAATCCTACAGTCAGACAATGGAAGGGAATTTGATGCAAGCTGGATAGAGAAGCTCAAGATATTGTTCCCTGCCCTGAAGATTGTGCATGGCACGCCCAGGCACAGCCAATCCCAAGGACCCGTTTAGAGTCAACCAGACGGTGAAGGACAGGTTTCGGGCCTGGATGCTAAAAAACGAAAACGAAGGAGTGGGTGAGGGGGCACCCCTTCGTACAATACAGCATCAACAAGACTATGCGTGAAGGCATGCGTCGTTCGCCTTACGAAGCCATGTTTGAGACGCCGCACCGCCTTGGCCTTGCCAGCATGTTCTCGAAGATGTTGCAGCAGTTGACGACGAGAACGACTTCGAGAAATTTCTGGCGGGGCTCAAAACTGCAGGCAAGATCACGACGGCGGACGACGATGACGGTGCTCACAGGGGAACCCTTTCAAGTGTAAATCTCCGATTTCGTTGGTACTCGGAAAATTGAAAGGTTCTTATAATAGAAGTCGGATGGCACTTGAAATTTTTCCTAAACCTAACATTTACTAGGGGTTTACTTAAGCCTGACACTGTTTTTTGCTCCAAATATCCCTCTATAGCTTTAACGGTTCAAAATGGATCAAAACGGACAAAAGTTTGGCCCAAAGAGCACTACTTACTTAGACCAGTTACCCCTTACAACACTGCTTTACATTTTTCAAAAATGATTTTTTTCTAACACCTTACTCCTACCTTATATAGGGGACAACTGAATGTCAGGTTTAGGAAAAATTTCAAGTGCCATCGTTTTTTTACATAAATAACCTTCAAGTTTTCCAAGTTTCAATGAAATCGGAGATTTACGCCTGAAAAGGTTCCCTTGTGAGCGACGAGGTGCCGGGGGCGGAGGCTTCAGCGTGTCTTTTTGGGAGGAGAATGCGCGCAAGTAATGAGGCGAGCAGTCAGTGTTGTACGTCGAATGTCTCACTTTCTCTAACTCGTCTCATCAGAACCATAGTTTTAGAGTTCAGCCCACCCCCACCGGTGTTCCAGTCCTTGTACCAGTCACAACCCGGCACCCCCGCTCCTACCTAGGGTAGTTCATAGAAACGCTGACGTTAAAATGTTGAAATGCTTGTTGGCAATATGGTGTAGTTCGGTGTGTAATGACCTCCATTTCTTAGAAGATGGTACCTTAAATACTTTCACAAAATATAAAGAAATACCTAAGTAACTTCAAGGTGTCAGCTAGATTTAACTCTCGATAAGCAGGAAAAAGAACTAAGAGCAAAACCAGAAATCATACATTTGTGACACTTGAAGAATAGTGTCCGACTGGCTGAGTGTCGCGCTGGGTAAGCCCCTTCCTTGCCCTGCCTAACAATACTGCGCGGGGTGGGCCCCTTCCCTGCCCAAACAATACTAGTCCGCCGCCGCCAGCCGCCCTCCCCGTGTATGTCGTCCTCTATGCCATCAGGCCGCTGAATTGCAAGCAACCAAACAGATTGCAGCTAATGAGAGAAAATAAGAACATAGCCATATTCATAAATTTGTATATCATCTGCTTTCAAGATCGATTTTAGATTGATGACCTCCATTTTTTTTTCGAATTTTTGAACAGGATGTGACCCTCCAGGCCGCTCCGATCCCCTTGGCGGAGCCGAGCCGCCGGGCCGCCCAGCGGACCCGAACCCGAGCGGAGCCGAAAGCCCGGCCCGAGGGGATCGGAGCCAGCCGGAGCGGATCCAGCACGGGGGGATCGGAGCCGGAGCGGTCCCTGCAGGTTCCAGCCCGAGGGGATCGGAGCTGCCATTCCAAAATAAAAATGC